GGGTGGCGTTATGCAAATCTTCCCACATAGTGATGTAGACATGTGGGGGCGTGTTAGAACAAGCCGTTTTAGGTAAGCGTGGTTGACTCTTAACTTTTATAAAGAATATCTCTTTGGATTTGAGACTTTAGTCTTTGCAACTTTACAGATCTTCTTTATGCACCAAGAGCTTGTAACAATCCAAAGAGAAAGGAAAAATTGAAATCGCATCATATGACCCCTTTAAAGAAAAACTGTACATGCATATAATATTAGTAAAATAAAAGGCCACCTAATGCCGAGTTCACACTGCACGATTTTCAAAGACGTCGCATCACTGTTGGTTTCACACTGAACGACTATCTGGGGTAGCATTCAGTTGTTGCTGTGTTCACACTGCACGATGGAACGACGACAGGAGGTTACACACTGCATGACTTTACAATAGGAAGAATCGCCGACAGCTCTGTCTGGTGCAGGGTTGCCAGGTTTTCGCTACTAAACCCTCCCCAATTACTACTCAAAACTAGCCTGAAAATAGCCCAATTGCTTTCGAGGGGGTCCCCCAGTAAAAATCGCGTTCGGGGGGTAAAATACACATTTTTTTGGCGGGGTTCTCCTGGTACAATTCACATTCCAGGGCCTAAATATCAGTTATTGGGGTCGCTTCAACCTGCTGACATAAAAAACAACCGGCGGTAATCGCGGATTTGGCAACACTGGTCCGCAAACTACGTTTCATATAACTCCTCCCCGAACTTCCCGCTGCCCTGTATCTTGGTCTCTCATTGGCTGTAGGTCATCGCTGATGTGTTTTTCAGTCAGAATTCATTTCACACTGCGTGATTGTGAAGTCCTCAGATCGCGTCTTTGATAATTCACACATATTTGATAATGTCACTCGCGTGAACGAGCACCGATTTGCCTCCGATTTCGGGCATTTGTCGGCGATTTCGCAAAACCTGTCGGCGAGTGAAAAATCGGGCTAAAATCGTGCAATGTGAACTCGGCATAAGTGTACTGAAAGAAAGCACGCTTTCATGACTGTTTCTTAACGCACTTTTAAAACGTGAACTTTGTAATAATGTCAAATTAAAAGTTTTGCTTATTTTTAATAAGAGTTTTGCTCATTTTTAATCATTGTTGTCATGCTTTAAAGAAGTAAACTTATTTTGATGCATTGACTAAAGCACATGTAAAGTACTTGGTTATAAATTTAACTGTATTGAGTTATTTGATATTACATTTAAAGTTAATACACTGCTCAAAAAAATTAAAGGAACACTTTGAACACACATCAGATCTCAATGGGGAAAAACATCATGCTGGATATCTATACTGATATGGACTGGGTAATGTGTTAGGAATGAAAGACTGCCACATCGTTTGATGGAAATGAAAATGATCAACCTACAGAGGGCTGAATTCAAAGACACCCCGAAAATCAAAGTGAAAAAATTATCCAGCAGGCTAGTCCATTTTGCTTAAATTTCATTGCAGCAGCTCAAAATGGTGCTCAGTTTAGATGGCCCCCATATGGTGCTTGTATGCATGCCTGGCAACGTTGGGGCATGCTCCTAATGAGACGACAGACGGTGTCCTGGGGTATTTCCTCCCAGATCTGGACCAGGGCATCACTGAGCTCCTGGACAGTCTGAGGTGCAACCTGGTGGCGTCGGATGGACCAAAACATAATGTCCCAGAGGAGTTCTGTTGGATTTAGGTCAGGCGAGCGTGGGGGCCATTCAATGGTTTCAATTCCTTCATCCTCCAGGAACTGCCTGCATACTCTCGCAACATGTAGCCAGGCATTGTCGTGCACCAGGAGGAACCCCCACTGCACCAGCGTATAGGGTCTGACAATGGGTCCAACGATTTCATCCCGATACCTAATGGCAGACAGTAGAAGTAATCATGATATTTTTTATAAAGATGTACTTACGTTAAGTCCTATTTAGGTGGGCCAAAAACACTCTTAAGTTCAATTAATTGCATTTACTATAAATGTAAACTATAATACATTTTCTTTTAACTGCAATTATTAAGTGTCAGAAAACATTACATTCAGTTCACACTTAAGTATATTCTTTTGAAGTATATTATTTCCGTAATAAGTGCTCTTTTTGAAATTATGCTAAAGTGCACTTCTTTTTCACAAGGGAACTTTAAGTGCATACTGATTTTGTCAAGCATATTTAATTAAAATGTATTTTCAAGTCTGTGTGTTGTTGGTACAAATTGCTCTAAAATGTTTCCCAGAAGCCATTGTGTCAACACGTCTGTTCAAACTTTTGCATGGACAGCAGATGGCTGGATGAGAAATGAGAACACATCAGAATGATGCCTTGAGTGATTCACTTGTGTTCATCCTGCTGATTAAACATCAGCACGGACCCCAGGCCACATATCCATCATTCATTTCCAAAGAGAGTTGGCCATTCCTGGCGACATGAACAACAGTGACCATCGGCTATGCAACGAAGTTGAGCACAGTTTAACTGCCTCGCAATGCGGCAGCTATCACTGGGAGTACAGACAGTGAAGCTCACATGATTCATTGCTTTATCTGATTGTATGCAGCAGAGTGGGAACATCTATTAACAACAGTAGTAGCTCCAGCTTCTACTTGGTAGAAAATACAAAATTACAAAACAGTTAGATGTCTCAATTTAGGGTTGAAAAAAATGGCAAATCACATAGAGAATGAAAAGAAAATCTCTCAAATTTTGGTTTGACCTTTTGAGATTGATTTAACCTATTTATTTAAGCTAAAGGTTAGTCGTTTTACATTGCTTTGTGTTGTTTTGCAGGCACGGAAGGCTCTAGCGGACAGACAGAAGGATCTTGAAGTGAAAACACAGCAGCTTGAGATCAAATTGAGCAACAAAACAGAGGAGGATATTAAGAAAGCCCGACGGAAATCCACACAAGCAGGTCAGAGCATCAGTACAAAGCAGTCCATTAAGCCTGAGCTAATGTGATCTTACTACACACAATAAACCTGAGGACACTTTCCTTTGATCCAAGATGTTACTAAACCCATTGAGTTTTGGAACTAAGATGAGTTACAATACTAGTTCACGTTTGTAGGGGATGATATTTTGGCTCTATAGTCCAAAAATATGACGATTTATTAAGTGAAGTGAAGTGACATGTGACCAAGCGAACCCGCTACCTTTGGGTTACGAGTCCGACTCTCTAACCATTAGGTCATGACTTCCCCAAAGGAATTTGGGGAAGTTTGCAGAAAAATCTGTTGTACACAATTTTCATGCTTTTAAAACGAGAGACTATTGAGGAAGTCAATCCTGTTGAGCAGTGGAGCAGCCAGGAGTTTAACTTCCCATTAAAGGAATATATCGGAGAACTACAGTGGTTGGGAAAGGTTTCAAGGAATAATGACTTAAATTTCATTCTGGTCCTCACACAAAGCGATTGTACAGCTTCAGAAGACTTCAAATATAGCACATTTGGTGCCTGACAACCTGTAGTTGCAAAATGTTTTCATTTAATGGAAAAGAGCAGCTTGGTCATTGTGTTAAACAGTCTTCTTTTGTGTTCTACGTTAGTCAAATGGGTTGTATAGAAATTTCTGATAGAAAGTTCATTATGTTCACTCTTCCTTTAACCCCCCCAGTTTGCGTGTTTTATGGTTTGAAACATATTTGATAGATGATAGATCAGGCCTTTATGGCTCATATAGCATAATAGAGGAGAATGTGTAGCTCATACACGAGGAAGAAAAAAAAAGCACCTTTATTTTATTCAGATGCCCAAACTCAGCAAAAATATGCAAATAGGTGTCGATGCTGATACTTATATGGTCAAAAATTTGAAATTCTGATAGCTTGTAACAGGGACGCGGGAAGTAGGGGTGCTGAGGGGGCTGCAGCACCCACTGTTTTCACATGGTTGCAAATGCAACGCCAAGTTTGTTCATTTAAATTTATTCAGTTTTAGCATTTAATAATTTATTTGTAATGATCTCTGAAATGTAAATTGTAAGTGGGCTATAATAAACCCATGTTTATCTTTATAAACATGATTAATTTTACTTGTGATGTTTTCTATATGGGATGATTAGCCTAATCCTCATGAACACGTGACGCTAGCGCATGGTATCAGACATTAACTGTACATAATGCGAACAAGATTAACTTTAATACAAGGAGATAATGGCGCAAAAGCGAATTTCAGATTTTTTTAAATGCCCATCCCAGCAAAAACTTTCCAAAATCGACATCCAAACAACACCAGCCCCAGCACGAGCACCGTAAGTGAAGTTATTATTATGTTTACTTCATAAAAATCTGTAAAACAAAATCACAGCAACAAGACAGGTGAGCCACAACCTGAAGGTTTGGCATTTTTACAATTATACTAAAAGGGCTTTTACTTGCTAAAAAAATTACGGAAAGCATGAAAATTGTGTACAACAGATTTTTCTGCAAAGTTTTGATCATGTTGACAAAGAGAGGCCTTAGAAATTTGCGTATCAAATATGACAAAAAAGGCTTTATAGGGTTAAGAAGTTCATTAAAAAGCTCCGACTATCAGAATCCTGAAGTCATAGCCAGTTTGCCAGCTGTCATAACACTGTAACAGACTGCACTGGCAGACAAACTCCTGGCTGCTCCACTGCTCAACAGGATTGACTTCCTCAATAGTCTCTCGTTTTAAAATCTTCCAGTCCTTCTCTTCCACTCAGGATGGATTGCAAATGAAACAAACCCTCCGTAATCTGGCGTCAGTCCTTTTTGCGTTGAGTAAGGAGCTTTGTTTTTAGGTGAAATCTTGTGCGGGGCGCCATTGTTGTAGCGTGCGGAGACTGTGGAGATGAGACTGTGTTTCTGAGCGAGGGGAGAGAGGCATGACAAACAGGATGGGAGAGAACAGTGGAGGGGATGGAAGAGGACTTTGGCTCAATCCCAGAAGTCTGTGTTTAAGAGGAGCCAGGCCGTATTGGTTCCAGACGGAGTTGGGAAAGGCATGGAGTAATGGTCTATTTTTGCAGTGGGAAAATGGGCCTCATGGGAGCTGACGATCAGCATGCCAAGCCTCTTATTGCTCCGGACGCCTACTATCAATGCCAGATTTTTCCTGAGCTGGACACTCACACATCCCTAATGCAGGAAGACCTGGCAACCCTGAGGTTCACACGGTGCGACGCAACACGGGGGAGAATTCACTCCACCTTCAACCTGTTGGCCTGAGTGACTGGTGCATTATTGAGGACCCTAATGTTGTCTTATTCAGTGCTTATAGACTGACTCCATCAGCACAGAGGACCAAATGACCATGACAGACTCACGCACAGCCACAACACTGAGTGATTCAGACTATAACAGCACTGTGAGAGAAGTTCCTGCTTCACTATTCAACTTCCCAAACCACAACATTAATGTGATATGCATAACAATGCATTCACTTCAAAGTAACAGAAAGTGCCTTGATAATAACATGTCTTGTAGTGTATTTAAAGAGGTTAGTACATGGTATTTTCATGTTTTAGAGTTTGGGGTGTTTTTGTTACAGTGTAATTATACATTTAATTACTGAGTAATATTAATGAACAACATGTACTTACTATATGGTTAGGGTTAGGATTAGGGTTTGGCTTACAGCTACTTGCATGTAATTATGCATAATTTATTGTTTTTATAATAGTAAGTACATGTAACTTGTGTAACAAGGACACTTTAAAATAAAGTGTTATCGAGTTTGGGTTAGGTATTCCAAGTATTAAGTACCTTGGAATACCATGTAAATACCATGGTACTGTATATGGCAGGGATTCCCAAACTTTTTTTTTAAATAACTGAACCCCTTTGATGTCAAATACTTACATGAAGTCCTGTTGAGAATTATACTTCAATAATTTAACAATAAATGTGCATGTTCATGGATCTTTAAAGCTGGTTAGTGGTCACATGACATGCTGGTAAACAAATAAAAGGTAATCTTTTAATGTTACATTTTTTTAATTGTCTCTGGCAGACAATAAAATATGCGACAGATCTTTGACATGAGGGGTTTTCAAATCTGCAAGTGAGAAATATTATTGATTGATTGATTGATTGATTGATTGATTGATTGATTGATTGCACTTTGAGTTTTTAGGTATGTCAGAGTTTAGTTAACTTTTTATATTTATTAAATATGTTAATACAAAAATGTAACAAATTTGTCAATTTTATATATTTGTTTTTTCTTTCCCCCCCCCCTCCCCCAAGAGAGTAAGAAATAAAACCAAATCACTGAACAGTAAAGAGAGAAAAAAAAAGTTCACATTAACTAACAAATTATTTATATTTATATGCAATTCCCCACCGCGTTGTCACTCTTATCTTGCTTTTTGAGGGTTGTCAAATATAGACAAATAAATAGCAGGTAACAAAAATGTCAACTAACAAAAAAATAAATGTTTTCCAGAATATTTTAATAATTTGTTTTGGGTCCAGTGCAGTTAAAATATACAATCAGGGCAGTAATTTTATTTCTCACTATTAACTAGTTGCTTATTAGCATGCACATTACTAGCATATTGGTTGATTATTAGTACTTATAAAGCACATGTTAATGTCTTATTCTGCATGACCATATTTTAGATCCCTTAACCTGACCCCATAAACTAAACAACTACCTTACTAATAATAAGCAGCAAATTAGGAGTTTATCAAAGCAAAAATAATTAGTTAATAATGAAAAGTGGTCTCATTTATATTGTCTCACACTGTATGAATGGGGCTTTTTACATGAAAATGTGTAATTGCCTTTAGATTTTAGGAAGGGTGTCTCTTGCAATATTTAGGGGTCTGCAAAACCTCGCTTTAGACTTACACTAAGCCTGCTAAAGACCAGAATATTATAGAGACTTTTTTTTCAACCAGTAAGCAACATCCTATTAACCACCCAGAAACATTAGCAATGCATAGCAATGCAAAGCAACACGCTGGCAGCCAGCCACAACACTCTAGCACAAATTTTAAAAAGGCAATGTAAAAACCTAGTTTATATTATTGAACTCATTTGTTATTGATTATAATCACCCTTTACAGTAAGCCGTGTGATAATCGTGCTGTAAGATATCAGTGTCAAATGGTGTTTTAGATTCAGTCAGCTTTGATTTTCTTTGTTTGCAGAGATCTTTTCCAGTGCTTGACTGCAGGAGATTGTTTTTAATTGTGCTGCTGCCAAGAGCTTTACAGTTTTTTCCTCTGCAGCTGAGCTCAGTAGAAAAAAACCCTGTATGATGTTATCTGTGTCTCTCTCTTTCTCAAACTCCCACGCACTGAACAAGTCGCAGTTCCCGCTATAAATCAACAGCTAAACATTAAGCATGGCTCAAACGCCGTTTTCCTTCAATAATCATGACGGCTCAAATCACTAATGCAAATGGATTTAAAGCCTGGATCTCATTTACATATAGATGGAGCGATCTGCTTCTTTTTTCTTCCAAGATGTCGATATTTTTTCTCTCACGCGTCTGCCTCCTTTTGCCTCAGTTTACATTGAATTTTGCATGTAATTGTAAAGCCCAGTAGTGCAGTTTGGGAACTGCTTTTCCTGGTAAACAGCTTGAGTTTAAATGATAGGCCTACCTGTGATTATTGTGTTAAAGAAGGGAATACAAATAGTAAAAATTAAGACTGACCCCTGCTGGTAAAGTCAAGCACTGATTAAATAAGAAAATATTAAACAAAACTAAAATAAAATCGGTTTACCAATATCCAAATATCTTTAAAACAAGGTTTATTTATTCAGTTGAGAAGCAAAATCGCTTGTTTCACTATCAAGACAAGCTTGATTTAGGAAATGTGTTTAAAAAAATCTTTTTTTTATATATATATATAAACCATATTGAATGATCATCTGATCGCATGAAGTATGCAGTGTACACTTTGGAAAGAATTGCTCAAATTAATTTAATTTAACGACATGAATTCTTGTGGATTTGAAAGATTTTTCGTACATAGTTTCTGATATATTTTCAATATGTTTATTTTGAAATGCTCAAGACTTCAAGTTTAAGATGAAATCAAATGCTTTAGAAATCTAGGTTTATATTGTCTTGTTCCATTGGCAGATTTTTTTCCCCCACTTGGTTTAAGCATTAACCACACTACATTTTCTTTTTCTATTTAATATTTTTTTGTAACTGCATGTATGATTGTAATGACGTCTCTATGTTTTATGTGAATAGGTGATGATCTGATGCGCTGTGTGGACCTTTACAATCAGGCTCAGTCAAAGTGGTTTGAGGAGATGGTCACCACAAGCCTGGTAATTATTTATATTATTTTATTACTAATTATTTTCTAGTCTCTCTAGTTTCCTTGTGCAAAATGACACTTCATGCATATTCATAATGCAGTGATATATGAATTCTCTTAAAGGGGTCATATGATGCGATTTCAAGTTTTCCTTTCTCCAGCTGGCCAATCAGAGCAGACTGCGCTTGTCGGAAGGAGGGACTTTGTAGAAAACGAAGCGTTTGAGAGAGGCAGGGCATAGAGGACCTACAATAATGTACAGTATTTGAAAAATAATGTGTTTTTTGAACATTAAAGCATGTCAACATATTCTGTTACACCAAATACACAAAATAATGATCTTTAAAAAAGCATCATATGACCCCTTTAATGATTCTTCTGTATGAGGCGTATATCTGTATTTATCATTTCGATAAATATTTTATCCATAACAGCCCTTTTATTATTATTTTAATTATTTACCTTTTAATCATGATAAAACTGTAATGCACAGATTTGAGTTGCTTTTAGCTTTTACGAAGTGGCAGCAACGGCAATATGGGGAAAACACACTAATGTTACAAGTACTGCTGTATAATAGCAGTAAATTGGCTAATTCCAAGTTCTGTATTTTTCCTCCTTATAGAATTTACATTTTTTAATAAAGAGTTGTAAGCATGAACTAAGCAAACCAGGTCTAAGATGATTCATCACATATTTTGATTTAAATTTAGAAAAACAAATGCTTTGAGTAGGCAATTAACTACAAATCCCATAATGCACTGCAAATGTTATAATATACTGATCATTATAAAACTATTGGCTGACAGTCGTTTATTATAAGCATAAAACCATATATATATTAAGGTTTTGATTTGCAGAAATGATGTACAGGTTTCTGCTAACATCCTCTTTTCTGATTGGTGGAGCTTGGTGGAGGATTGTGGGTAGTGTAGTTCTTTACAGGTGAATTTAGAAACACAATGCAGTATTCTGAAAATGAAATTAAATATTGTGACTTCTGTATCATATATCATTGCTTAATCTCTGTGCTCATGATGGGTCTGTCTTGAAAGGTTTATACTGTATTATGAAGAATGAATTTCACCATGAAGAAAATTAATGTTATTTTTGTCCGAGCCATCAGCTAATAGTAATATGCAGGCTGATCTTAGGTGTGTGATTTGTCTGTGTTTGTGCTCTGAAGGAGTTGGAGAGGTTGGAGGTGGAGCGGGTAGAGACGATACAGCAGCTTCTGCGTCAGTACACCACACTGCGGCATGAGACAGACATGTTCAATCAAAGTGTGAGTAACAGCCGTGTGTTCTTCTGGGAAATGCACCCGACCGAACACAGTTTCATAACCCAACTTTTCTTCATATTCAGATATTATCAGCTATCTATACTGCTTTAGAATTTAATTAAAGCGGTTTTCAAATGATCTTTTATACGATCTAAGAATCTCATTGCATGAGCTTTATCATGTGCTCTGTTCTCAGTGCAAATAAATGCTGCACAAGCTTTTCTCAGAAATAATTTCAGTTTTCTGAGACATTTGTGCTCAGTGACTGAATCAGCTGGTGTTTTGGTGATTTTAATGCATGTATGAAATCAGTTCTCCTGAGGTTCACACAGGTGTCCTAGCAGAGGAAACGCAGGTGTAGAGAATCACTTTAACTACTAACGTCATCCACTAACATTTGACATCCAGAAAATGTCCAGATGCTTCTCCACCTTAGGCTGTATCCACATCAGTCCATCCACATGAATTAGTTTCCAGCCACACTGAAGAGGTTCTTCTAAACAGATAAATTTGACAAGGCTGTTTTCGCATTGTGATGTGGACTGTGATATGGAGGTAATTGAAAACACTGATGCATGTTTGGTCATATGACACATACTGTTCCCACATTTGCTGAAAATTAACTCATTTTTGGGTGAAAAAAAAAAAAATATATATATATATATATATACT